GACTCGAATGCTCGTGCTCCGTCTCCCGCGGCATCAGTCTTCGGAATCCCTGGGCTAAATCCTCAAAAGCACGAGTGGCTTCCTGGAGTGCCTGCACCCCAGCATCAAGCGGTTTAGGGTTCCAACGCGGAGCAGTACGACGCCCACATCTGAGACGATCATGGATGGATCGCCTCTCACGACTTTGGTTCAACGAACCTCTCGAGTCTCCATGGCTCGACAAGCTGTTCCTCAGGTCCCCCGTCGGCCTCACCACCTTGCTTCTCACGTGATGGCCATTGGGCTGCTCCGAGCGCTCGGTGTGGACGAGAACTCGCTCCTGCCTTGATGTTCCTGTCATCTTCTTCTTCAAAGTTTCTACTCAAAGAATGAGAGACAACTCTCAATGAGAGCACCAATGTTGGTAGAAAATAGCTTGAGAGAGAAAACGACAGCACTTCAGTATAGTAGAAGTAACGTAAAGAATACATTGGGGGGGTTGATGGCCTATTTTAGGGATGGACTGGTTCCGGTTCGGGCCCGGTTCGGGCCTGGGCCCGGCCGGGCCTCGGTTCATGAAGGGGAGGCCCGGAACCGGCCCGGGTAACCCCCGGGTCCGGGTCGGGCCTCGGTTCTAATTTTTTTTTTTGGCTTTTCCTAGTTAACCCCCAACCCTCCCCCTCACCCCCAAACCAACCCTAACCACCTCAAATGGCCCAAAATACCCAGCCCAACCCAAAAACTTAAAAAAAATCAAAAAAAAAAAATTGGCCCGTCCCGGGCCCGAACCGGCCGGGCCGGTTCACCTTTTGAAGGGCCTGAGCCCGAACCGCCATCCCACTGGGCCGGGTGGCCCGAACCGGCCAACTAACCGGTTCACCGGGTCGGGCCGGGCCCGCACAGTAGCGGGCCGGTCCGGTTCCGGGCCGGTTGGCCCGGCCCGAGTCCAACCCTAGCCTATTTATATGCATCCATCATAAGCCCAAAATCTAATCTACATGGGCTTGGCCCAAATTAATAATACATTTCCCATCTAATGGGCGAACCAACCCGATAAATAAGTAAATGAGCAAGGGGTGATTCCCGCTCGTGAGACTGCATCCTGGGCCTAGTTGGGCCTAAGCTCGGGGATATCGGGCCGATGGCACTAGGCCTGGCCCATTATCCCAACACATAGCATGTGTAATTATTATGCGCATTTGAAAATATTTCGCGCCGCTGCAACTGCTACAGGTATCGTAGCGGCCGCAACGGCCGCTACCGTGATGACCGCTACCGCTATTTAAAACCTTGCTACCTTGTTGTTATTGACTAGAATGTTGAGATTGTAAACCGCACCTACTCTCCAATATTTAAGACCATACATATCTCCCCAAAGCTGGGTGGCATTAGAAAACCCCACACCCAGCTTACTCCCTTTACTTCTGTCTCAGTCAATGTCGTTGTGCCCCACAACCTTTCCAAGTAGTTTCTTAAGGTCTTTGCAGTAAGAAATGGGATATAATTGATGAGTGTGCCAGATCAGATCATTGTCATAAGTCGGTACACTAGTTTTTTTTTGCTTTTTTTTCTTTGATAAGATGTAAGAACCCTTTGTATTTCAAGATATACCTCGTTGTACATATGAGTTCTTGATACCTTCAATTCTGACATGTTTATATTTCAAGGGTTTACTTAGGCCTTTTGGCCTGGATATTACTAAAAAAAGGATAAAACACGAAAAACTGATCTCTTTTTAAAATTTCTGAAAATGTGACCAACATCACAATTAAACTCTAAACTCTGCGGTGCAAAGTGACTCCGGTCAAAATGACTCCGTCGCCACAGTGACTTCCCAGTCACAGTGACCCCGCTGCTACAGTAACTCTGCCACCACAGTGACTTCGCCGCCACAGTGATTCCGCCGTTACAGTGAATCGAGCCAAAGTGACTCGAGCCAGTGAGTCAGTGACTGCCGTCGCCCCCACCCAGTGACTGTCGCCGCCCCCGACCAACGCTAGTGACACTACTAAACCCGACCAGTTTTGCCACCACTGCCATGCCCATCGCCGCCCTTGCCCACCTTTTGTGTAGTCACCGATGAGATGCCCGACTCAGCCACCGCCTCCACCCAGGCTCCGGCCACTGACGCTCCGTGCCCCATGAACCCGTCACAGCCCTCCCCTACCCGCAACTATACCCACAATCTTGTCACCTCCCAACCAGCCCCAAGAGGCCCGCCCATGGCCCCATCTTGGGCTCGTCCTTCTCCTCTCGCAATCCTTCTCATCTCACAACCCCAGGACTTTCCCATCGTTGAAGAAATTAACCCAAAATGAAGGAAATTGCTAGAAGAAGAAATGATCTAGATCTAGATGTAGACTCGTTGATGGCGATGAAGAAGAACAACCCGCGAAGAGAACTGGATCCTCGCCATAGATCTGGAAATATGGACAGAAAATTGAAGAAATAGAAGGTGCGACGGTGACGTGTGCTGCAAAGGACTGGAGAAATGGAGTTGTGCCGCCATGGGCGAAGTCGAAGTGCTGCGTGGAGTTGGAGACAAAGCTTTTTGGAAGAAGAAACGAACGTCGGTAACCTAACATGATGTGAAAAATATAAAAGGAGTCATATTTTTTGAAATGCAAACTCCATAAGTAATATTGGGGCCATTTTTTCACGAGTAGTTTACATTTGTAAATCATAATTTTCTTAGATCGAGGCTATGTGGAAGAATTAAAACCTTACTAATTTGGATTTGATGTTGTACTAAGAACTCAATTGTTGAATAATTCACAAAAATAAGAACTTGGGGTGGTGCTAAATTTGCTTCCGTTCAATAAATAAAACTGTCCATGTTCAAACTAGGATTAAAAACGTTTGTATATTTCAAAATAGGACTATCATGTTTTTATTCCCAAAATATGACTAATTACTGTCATGTTTTGGCAGTATCAGACTTTAAACATGACAGTATTTTCCAAACTTGACGGTAATTACTTCTATTTTGAGAATAAAAACATGTCAGTCCTATTTTGGATTTTTCAAACTTTTTTACTCCTATTTCGGGAATTTTCCCTTTTATAATTCAAAGTAGCAATATTTCACATGTGTTGTTATTTGTTCCATATTATGTTACATTCAATCATATGTAGCATGCTATTAAAATTTGCAATTTGATCATACTTATACTTCTATATATGCATTCTATAGATTTGGTAACTTTAAATTAAATCTACTACACTTCATGGTAAAAGTACTCTATGGAAGAGTTTGATTGATTGGATTTCCATATCTAATAAACTAATCTCCCATTTTATCACATTATTGAATCGTGCATTAGTGCATACTTTTAGAATCGTCACTTCATCTTTACTACTCTTCGATCTTCACCATCCAAAAATTAAAATTCAAACATAACATTGTATTATATTCCTTCCCTAAAATCATACAAAACTCATGACCATCTGTACTTCAATTCTCACTCACTCATGAATACGTCCAACAATAAACGAATTAATCTTTAATTCTCTGCTCCAAATGATGCCTTACATTATACTACATGTACACTTTGACACTTATATGGAGGTCATGTGTAGATATATGAGTGTAGCAAAGGAGGAGGATTTTATGATCAGTAGTTTGCTACCCTTCAATAGTGAACATTAGAAGTGCCTCAATATACTATACAGTGACTTATGACTTGGTGAACTAGAGAGACATACCCCTTCCGGTTCCAAAAGATCTTGACACTTTGACTTCACAGTTTTTAAGTAAATAAACACTGTTTGTCACTGTTTGGCATTGTTTGGCACTGTATTGTGTAGATTTATTTGCCAAATAAGGCAAATAAGGAAGTGTAAAGATCTTTCTGGTACTGCTAAAAATGAAAAGTGTAAAGATCTTTCAGAATCGGAGGGAGTATAAGATTATAAGTAAATAGAAGCATTTACAAATTGATTTTCAAAAGTATATGACAACGGTTTTGGTCTCGATCAACTTAAGCTCTTCTAATCGAGTCGACCAAAGGAGCGAAGGACTCACGTTGGGATAATGACCCGTTCAATCCAACGTGGGGCCGATCAGACCCAGAATGCATAAGATCTGTCCGGACCCGCGAGGAATTGACCTTGTATTACTAATAAATTACTCGTTGGACCGCCTGGCACATTAGCGTTAGTGCTAGCTCATATATTGGGCCAAGCCTATTGTTATTTAGTGAGTGTTACTATTTACTATGGGGGTGTTTGTTTTCCGGCGTTTAAAGCCCAAAACACTGGAAATATGAGCGTTTAAAAAACGACGTTTTCCCCCGAGACGCCGAGTACCAATTCAAACAAACCCTATATCAAATTACTATCAATGTCTCTAGATTATTAACTAGTTTCATATATCAATTTTTACTTGGATATATAATCTAGCTTACCAAAAAGCCTATATATGTCCGGTCTTAATCTTGACCAACAAACTTCACAAAAGTGTTGAAAGTCCAAGAACAGGGCACCCACTCAAAAAATTGTTGAAACGAGTGAACCCATCATACATTTAAACTTAATTAGCTTGGTAAACTCTGTATTAAGAGCAACCTTAGCTCCCTAAAGTTAGTTTGTGGACTCATCAGCCGCAAACTTAGATGGGCAAATTACGTATTTAAGCAAATAACCTCCTTAGTTTACCCAGATAAGGGCGACTGACACGTAATTTTTGCCTATATTTAGAAATCACCGACCTGTAATAAAAAATACTAATAATTGCCGAAAATAAGTAAATAAAAAAAGAAAAACCCTATCCTTATTTCTTATCTGAATGCGGACTAGGACACCCGTCAGTAGATTAGCAAAGCCACGTTGGTGTATGATTTCGATGAGTTGCAGCTATTATCTGTACGCGTGACACGTGTTAATCTTCGCCCATACGTTTTATAATTAATATTTATATTATTACTATTACTAACATTTTAATTTTATTACGTAGTATTATTATTAGGTGCAGGCTGCATATATCCCACCCTATATATAGCTGCTTCAAAGTCTCAAATTTCTATCAGTTCAAATTGTATATCAGACGGTCAGTTCTATAGTATTGTTCGATCATATAATGTCTCATCAGTACGGCGGAGAGCAACCCTACGGCGGCGGTGGCGGCCGGAGAGACGAGTGGGGCAACCCGGTCGGGCTAACCGATGAGTGGGGGAATCCGGTGCACCAAAGGGATGAGTACGGCAACCCTGTCGTCCACCACGGCACCGGGGGACAGTCACAGTATTATGCAAACACTACTGCACCGACGGGGCCGGTGGGCGGGATGGCCGGTGACTACGGCGGTCAGCACCATGGTACCATTGGTGGCATGCTCCACCGCTCTGGCAGCTCCAGCTCCAGTTCTGTAAGTAATTTCATTTCTTTTCGTTCACATCATCCAAATCAATCATATTTGAGTGGAGCTAAATTTTGACCAAATCCAATATTTTAATTAATCATATCATCCAAATTAATCAAATTCATACTACAAATATAAGATATTAGCTCACTCCATTAAAAATGTTTATCAATTTCAAAATAGAATTATCATGTTTTGAAACTATAAATATGGCGCTTGACACACCACAAATATTATGGATTTGGCATGGTTGACCGATTTCATGTCAAATAGTTTATGTCAAAATGTTTTTGGCACGGATCGATTTGACATATCCTGCCTACCAAAAATTACTTTCAATCCCATGTTTTTTGTATACAGTGATAATAGTTTCTAATATTTTGTTTGAAAATACAAACATGACATTTTTATATTGATTTTTTAATATTTTTACTCATTTTGAAAATTTTCACTCCATAAATTTATAATTATCAAATCTAAATAGAAGTAATGATACCTGATACTTGTCAAGTCTTACAAGTACATTATTATTTTTAAATAACTACTTTCTTTTTTGAATTCTCCAAAGTAACATTTTTTCACTTTATTATATTCAAACCTGGATCAATTTTTTTTACTTTTTCAAGCAATTAAGGGAGTAGTATTATACTACTTCTGTTCCATTAAATTCTTCCAACTTTCATTTTGGGTCATCCCAAAAGATTCTTCCCATTTACCATTTCATTTTACATTCATTTACAGAACCATACATTTTTTCTTTATTCACATTCCCTTAATATTTAATCGGCGTGTCTTAGTCAAAGGTGGGAATTTTTTTGTAAGTATAAATACTTACTTATAAAAATCAATTGGATGAGTCAAAATGATCCATCGATAACCTCTTAAGATCAAGTTTAGATCTTAGCTTACGTGTGTAGTTATTTTTGCCTTATATGACCATTCATAACACTTTTATATTGGATACATAAAAAAAGATGTCATATACGGAAGTAACTATTATATTTTATAAGCTGCAATTCAAGTATACTTCGAATGCAGTCAGAGGATGATGGGCAAGGTGGAAGGAGGAAGAAGGGACTGAAGGACAAGATAAAAGAGAAGCTGCCGGCGAGTATTGGAGGTCAAAAACAAGGTTACTATGATCCATCTACCGGTGCAACCACCGCTACTACCGGTGGGGCTGCTGGTTATGGCTACGAAGAGCACCACCAGAAGAAGGGTATCATGGACAAGATTAAGGAGAAGCTACCTGGCGGCTGCACTGGCGGTGGTGCCGGCGGCCATCATTAGATCTGCCTCCAATGTTCAAGTCATCGATCGAAATTCCAGTATAGTTATTATTGTACTGTATTAAATAATCTGAATAAGTCGGTTATGCGGCGCAGTTTGTATACAAGTCATGATATAATATACAGGAAATAAATTAATAATACATGTTTAGGTATAATCAGTCTATTGTGTTACTTCATCGAGCTGGGACTGTACTTAAATAAATACTTAGTTAATTAACGTGTTATCTTCCATACTTACTGAGTTTAATTAATTACTATAGTACGTCTTTTCCGATAAAAACTATTGGAAAAATTGTGTGAATAAAATTAGGCTAGTTGCACAGAAACCTAAAAAGAAAGAATTAAAGAAGATATAAAGGCTATTTTAAGGAAGAATGCACTCTTAGTAGTAATACTACCTATGCAGAAGACGATTGTTGCTCCCCTTGCTTAGCTTGTGGGAAACTAGCTCTTATGAGAGCTACCTTTAATTTCTCTTAGATAGGATGCTATGTATGCTATGAAGTTGAAGAAGAAGAAAGAAGAAAGAAAAGAGTGGGGAGAAAAGAGTGGGGAGGGAGGAAAAAGTGGAGAGGAAGCGAGAAAAAAATTGGGGAGTTATATAGGGTGTACGCTGGGTGTAATCCGGGTATACCCCACCTAAAGAGTAAGTGGAAATTACCTGAATGAACGGCTTTTGTCGGTGTCACCACAATCTTTTCATTGGAACCTTTTTATTTCAAAAATAGATCCATCTCTCGAAGGTGATTCTTATATCTGGCCGTTTGAAGACAAAGCAAAGTGAATTCTCCCCTTCTCGTGACGCACACCAACGCCATCATAGTGCATCGATTTTTCTCTCTATTTAATGGCAGATCCGAGTCCTAGAGATCGATTTGGTTACACTAATCCACTCTGATTTGCTCCATCGGCAGTTAGGGCTTTCTAGAAATCACTGGCGGCGGCCGGCAGCCATGGCCGACTCCAGTCAGCTCAAATCCGACGCTCTAATGAAGCAGATGCAGCTTCACCTCGCCTCTACCACCTCAATATCGCCCCTAAGGTTCTTTTCTTGTAATCGTTGTGTAATTTCTTCTTTTCTTTGTGCTATTTTTTGGTTTTTATGAAAAAAAGAGCTCGATTTTGATGACCGTTGGTTTAACTTTGACATAAACTTGGTTTAAACGAAAAGATTTATGTCGTTGAGCCGAAGAAAAGGAGGTCAGGGCTTCTGATTTCCTGCTACTAGATTTAATAGATTATTGAACACTGTGAATGAAAAATGGTTGTCTTTGGATGAATTTAGGGAAGCATGAGGATGGAAGGCCTGGTGCAACCTTTTCCTTTACTGGTGAGGATTTTCATTTTTCTGAAAATTGAAACAGGGAAGATGAATCCCGGTTGTTAAACTTCTGAAATAGTGGTTATCCTCTGTGTTATTAAACTTATTTTAATTTAACGTGTAACACAATTCTGGAGCAGCGGATACTATCTTCTGTAATAAAATATAAATCTCCTAGTTTTGGAGCAGAAGATAGCTTAGCACTAGGTGGTTGTTTGTGTTTATTTTAATGTTTCTTAATGATTTACTATGGAATGTGCACTTTATACATTTTGGTTATGTTTTATTTTCTGGAAAACATTTATCACATCTAGTGACTTGGGTCATTAATTTAGCTCCGACTCTTTTTCATGTAAAATCAAAGGTAATTGATGAGGTCTGTTAACTTTTAGATATGAAGTTTTTTATTATAAAATGTGTTTATTTAATCATTGATTGTGCTACATTTTGAGGTGGTAATCTTGTCTTACTATGTCTATAGAGAGGGCGGTATCTGCTTATGCTTGAATAATACTTCGTATTACTTTTCTCTTTTTCATGTAGAAATTATATTGCAACTAGCTTGCAGGTGTAAAGGTACTTCAAACTATGTTTATAGTGACTATAAACCTATTTGTTGTCATATTGTTGTAGATATACTTTGTTGTATAAGTTAAAGTTTTTGCCTACTTTATTGTCATCTTTGGGTCATAGTGATTGTGATCTCATTGGAGGCACAAAAAAGAATTGTACGAAGATAAGAGAATGAAGTATGAAGAATTGTATCAAGATTTATAAAAAGAAGAATGAATGATAAGATCCAAAGCCAAATAATATACTCCATAATAGATGAATGTAATACATTGAAATAATAGATCGAATTATTTATTTATAGTGATACTTTCATATGTTATTTTTGTTTCCTAGTGATACTTTCATATGTTTTTGTTTCTTTTTGTTGCATCGTATGTGTTTCTTTTTGTTACGTCGTGTTTCTTTTTTTTGCATCATATGTGTTTCTTTTTGTTGCATCATGTTTCATTTTGTGGTATCATGTTGTTTATTGTTATTTACAATTAATTCTAATTTTTTCTCCAATTAGGTTTCTATTTATATGTGCTACATACTTATTTGAAATACAAAATCTATATATAGATATGTATATGAAAACACCTTTAGTAATAAATGTGATTTTATGGATATTGACAACAAGAAGCACGGAGAAACAACAAGAAACAAACTTTATATTTTCTGTTTTTAGTTTTATTTATAAAATACTGTTTGAAAATTCTTGTGTTTACGAATTTATGTATTTAATTTATATATTTAACTTTATATGTAATATATATATATATATATATATATATATATATATATATATATATATATATATATATATGTGTGTGTGTGTGTGTGTGTGTGTGTATGTATATATTTCAGTTTTAAAAAATTTACTCTTTATATATATTTCACATTTTTAGTGTTCATACAAATTTCTGATTTCCATGTTTTAAAGTATATGTTTAATTTTGTACATAAATTAAATATATATTATTTTCAACATAGATATATTTTTTCGATCATTTATCATGTTTCTGTTTTATACATTATTTCTGAGTTTATAATGTTTTTCAGTTTTATTTTTTTATAATAATAATAATACTCCGTTATTATTATGATATTTATTATCATTATTATTATTTTTATTTATATTGCTTTTAATTGTTAGTTTTCATTCAGATTAAAAAATGGAAGTACGTGATGTGAGCTCAATATTAATAAGGCAGTGGGGTCCAACGTTTTGAGTGTTTGAAATAACATGCGTGACCTGAGAGTTACGGAGTAAGTGCCTGGAGCAGAGTGTTTACGCGTAGGGTCTGTTATTGAAAGGGAAACTTCAACTTGTCTATATTTGAAAAAGCTTTTAAAAATGAAAAAAAAAAATGAAATTACTTTCAGACTTTAGGCCGGTTGTGAAAAAACCCCAAAGAATAATTCTTGATAAGAAGGCCAGTTTGAATTTTCGCTTTCTAAAACATCACCGAAGGACATCCACACAAAGAAATTACAATTAATACAAATACAATTGTCCTAAATAGGATTAAAGCACTATCAAATTCTTGAATAAGAGTTCAAGTTTATTATTTCGTGTGTTCTCACACATCTCTTCTTCTTCTTTTTCTTCTTCTTCTTCTTCTTCTTCCTCTCTTCCTCCATCTCTGTTTTCTTCTCCTTGTGCTCCTTTGTGTTTCTCTTTCTTTTGAATTTTAAATTATATCAAATTATATATTTTTTCCTTTCGACTTCAAAATTGTCATCATTTAATATATTTGTCACAATGAAAGTTTTGACCTGCTTGACATTTTTACACTTGAATGACGCCTATATATGAAATTGTCATGTTTTAACAACTAACAACCATGACTGTCATGTTTCTATACAAAAGTGTCATAATTATTTTAGCATGATTGTACATGTGATTTTTTTTAAATGCCGTGTTTATTTTTTAAATGACTTGTATTCACAATTTGAAAATGACACATTTTTTCATCTACATGTAATTATAATCTCAACACTGTAATTATAATCTCAACATGTCATTTGTTTTTAAAACTTGTGATTTTGTTGTGGAGGAGGTCACGATGGTATCGGTTGCGACTGGAGGCGGTGGTTTAATTGCCGGAGCATGGCGGTTGTACTATTGCTGGATGGTGGTAGTCGTAGCCATTAAGTCTGGTATATGTCGTAGAAGTAGGCCCAATGGCGGATCTGGGGGCAGGGGGCAGGGGGCGGTGCCCCTGCTTCGGTTGTACGAGATAAGTATATGAGGGGTAGGAGGGTCCGCCGGGCCGACCGTTGCCATTTTTCCGGTGACTCAGAGAGGCTGAGAGGTTTGAAGAGGACGATAATATGGAAAGAAGTGGGCAACCGTTGAGCTTTTTTTAATAATGGAACGACGTCATTCCGAGGCCAAAGGAAAAAATTAAAACAGACCAGGGTTGATTGGGCCAAGCCCCAACAACCTAAAGGCCCCGAACGAGGCAAATAGGAAGTCTGGAAAACCAAGCGTGAAGCGTCCACAGCAGCCTGAACTGTTACTCATCGTCATTGCATTATCCCTCATCGGTTCATCGCCGATTCCTTGCATCGCAACTCGCAAGCAGCAGTTTAGCGCCATACCCCTCGCCAAGACTCCCGAAACCAGCTCTCCGACGCCCACCAGAGTACTCATTTCTCTTCGTCGGGTAGGTTTTTTTCATTTTGCTCTTTCTAATAAAATTAAATATTTGGTATTTGATTATTGAATTTTTCAGTTCATAAATATGATTTGAAAAATATGTAGTGTAAAAGAGTTAATGATTTTACAGTATTAATGTATTGCGTAGTATATAAAGATGAATGTAATGAGTAATTGATTAATCGTTTGAACTAATTCTTTTTTCTGCTAATTGTGGCCAACATAGGACAAAATTAATCATATAAGTTGATTAAAATTTTCTAAAATATGAATGAATGAGTTTTATTTTGGAAATAAACCACAATAATAATCATGTTTATGAATTTTATCATTGTTTTAGTTTTATTTAGGATAATTTCTCACTATTATTTTTGTTCATTTTTGCCTCCCTATAAGTAAATCCTGGCTCAGCCCTGAAAGTAGCCATGGAGCTCGTGCACATTGCCGGTAGCGACATTAGGCACAGTCGCACAGAACAAGGTTTTGTTTACTTAGCGTGATTGTCGAAAGCAAAGCTAGAAGGAGATGTACGCCTACAATCCCAAGCAACACCCCTCACACAGAGGAAGATGGAAAGACTAAAAGGAGGAGAAGTACGAACATGCAAAAAGGTAGGAGACAAACTGTGACACCTCGAAAAATTTAATAAAATAAAATAAATAAATTTTATTAGTTAGCAAAATGTTACGAAA